CATACTTTTTATTGCATTTCTTCTTTTATGTTCTTTGGGGGGTGTATTCATATGAAAAGGAGGATATATATGCATATCACTTAAGCATTTAGGTGATTATATTCTATCAAGAATGGTTGGAAAATTGAAGGAAGAAATGGAAAGAACTAGAAGTAATCATTGCTTAGTTATATAAACAAAGAAAAGCTTCTTTTTCCCCCCTTTCTCTCCAGTAATGCATGAATTTAATTGATAACTTTAAAATACTTTTTCTTACAGTAAATTTGATCGTGTATTGTTATTTAAATAAAGGAGCTGAAGTCTTGTCTTAAGTTATGATGCTTTAAAGATTTGAAGCCCTAATTGTGCATGAACAGTATCATATAGAATAAGCTCACTGTGATTGGAGAGGATAACATGCTTAATGTAGCATTCAACAGCACAGCTTATGAAATAAGAATATTAGAGTTCAAATCTTGGCCCTGCCACTTCTTGGTTGCATCTTACTTGAACAGGTTACTTACCTTCCATATGTCCTGGTTTCTACTTCTGTAAAACAAGGATATAAGTAGTATATGGTAGATAGTTCTCTATTTCATAATATTGCTGTAAGAATTAAATGAGCTACTATTTATAAATCACTTTTACATATAGTAAGTATTCAAAAAGTGTAGCTACTTACAAGAAATATTATTGAATCACAATCTGTTGTACTTTTAAAATTTATTTTTACTAAAGTGTAAAAACTGATTTTTACACTACTTGGTTTTGACTATTTGTTTCTTATTTATATTACAGTTACAAATTATAATACTGTGGTAGAAACAAATTCAGATTCAGATGATGAAGACAAGCTCCATATTGTGGAAGAAGAAAGTATTACAGATGCAGCAGATTGTGAAGGTGGTATGCCAGAAGATGACCTGCCAACAGACCAGACAGTGTTACCAGGGAGGAGCGAAAGGGAAGGGAATGCGAAGAGCTGCTGGGAGGATGATGGCAAGTTTAATTTTGTTTTGTAATATTCTATTCTCTTTATTCTTTAAAAAATATATTAACTAAAAATATAAATTAAATGAAAAATTTGAAATGAACTTTAAGTTTGTTTATTAATCAATAGAAGTTATCCTTCTATTTACCAAAAAAGTAGATTATGTAGCAGAATAATAAAGTTATTATGACCAAATGTATAATGCATATAATTTTGAATTCTAGTAGATTTTTTAAGAGAATCAAGCTTTTCATATGCTGTCAATATAATTGAACCTATATTTAATTTCATATTGTGACCTCAAAAGAAGAATCTACTTAAAAACCAAAAACATATATTTTGGTGCAGTGAAATTGTAACAATTTAATATACAAAAATCTCAGACACAAATAAATAATTGGAGTATTTTTAGTGTTTCTAAGCCAGCCTGTCTCTTTTTTTCTCCCTCCCTCTCACTCTTCATATATACGCGCGTGTGTGTGTGTGTGTGTGTGTGTGTGTGAGAGAGAGAGAGAGAGAGAGAGAGAGAGAGAGAGATATTTAAATTTGAGAGAGCAGTCCTAGAAGAGTTTCTGAGTGAAACAGCGGTCTTGAGATACAAAACATCAGTAGAGGTTAATTAGGTAAAAACAAGGAATAGAAGGTGCTTCAAGCAGAAGATACAACATGCATGAAACCATTAAGGTTTGAACAAATGATGTTTGCAGAAATTGAGATCAAGGAATTAAAGGAAAGAATAGGAAGGGCACTGTGTGCTACATCAAGGAATTTGAACTTATTTCTGGAAGCTTTGAAAATAACATCATGGATATTTACTTTAGAAATAAGTTTAGTAGCGATATGGAGAAGAATTTCAGAGGGAGTGAGTCTAGAGGCAGGAGGCAGTGCCTTCAGTAAGGAGGCTATAAGAATTCAGGAAATTATACGAGTTCTTGAACTAAAGAAATAGTGGCCATTGGGCTTGGAATAAAGGGGAGAGATTTGACAGAAATGTAGGAGGTAGAACATAAAAGATTTGGTTGATTTTATGTGGAAAGTAACTAAGAGGGAAGGACTGACTTAACTCCCAGGTTTCTGGAAAAGTAGAACCCAGAGAAGTTAATATGCTTATTTATTATCACAACTGGTCAATGGAAGTGATATTAACCTATTAAACATTTAATATTGAGCTCAGAACTTTTGGGAGCAAAGGTTTCTTATGTATTTCTTGTCTGTGGTCAAAATTGATCCATCAGTGTAGTTGAGCCAAAGTCTTATTATGGAAGCAATAGAAAATGATTTGTATGGAAATGGAGGCGATAAGGAGAATGAGATAGATGGAGATAAAAAGATGAAAAATCTTTGAAAGGTTCTTTTTCTGAAAATATATTGGAATAGATTATTTGAACTGTCTCACTGAAAATAACTAATGTCAATCTAATTGCCTGATGTTATATTCAAAAATAAATAAATCTTCTTGAAAGCTTTAAAGAGCTAACTAGACAGTAAAACAACAACAGATCAAAATCTAAGTGAACACAGGAACCCATAGAGGTTAGCAGAGCACAGCATAGTAGATTCTTTGACCTTTAAGACATTTAACTAATCAAGGCAATATAAGATATGGTTTTCAGGTCTCTGAGAAGAAACAAAGCCTTGGACCATCAAAATGTTTAATTACAGATTCTCCCATAGTATGGGATTACACGTGCATTATATGATGAACTAAAAGCAAACCGTCTCTCATCCCTACCATTCTCATGAGTTAGAAGATAAAATTGCCTTGGTTAGGGATTGGGGGAGTGGAGAATTGTCTCAGAAGTAGTAATCATGAAGTGTCTTGCATTGATTTGCACCTCAGATTCACATTACTGGATAGCCTAATAAATCTGAAGCCATGATTGACTTTAAATTGGAACTGTGGCTAATACCTATAGGTACCAAGGAGATAATACAAATCTTTTGGAAGAACATACCTTCCTCATAACACTATAGAAGTCTCCCTTTAACTCAGCAAGAAGGCACCAACATGAGTGAGAATAATAAAAAATAAAAGGAGCAGAAACTGATCATAAAGATGTTAATTACTAGAGTTACCTGAGACATTATAAAATAACTGCCATGCTTAAAGAAAGAATAGACAAATTTTAAAGGAATCAAATGAAACTTCTAAGAATGAAAAAATAAAATAATAGAAATTGAAGTTCAAAGGATGGATTTAACCACAAAGTAAACAGAATTAAAGAAAGAACTAGAGCGGAGAACCAAGATGGCGGCATAGGTTAACGCCGGAGTTTGCCGCCTCGAACAACCATTTCAAAAGTGAAACTAAAAGACGGAAGGGACATCACCCAGACCCACAGGAACGCTGGCTGAGTGGAAGTCCTACAACTAGGAGGAAAGAGTAACGTATATACGGACACTCAGAGGAGGCGCAGTGCTGAAGTCAAATTCTGAGGTGCGGATTGCGCGGAGCGGGCTGGCAGCGTGGAGGGCGCGGTTGTTGGTTTCAATCGGGAGGGAGTCGCAGACTCTGAGCTCTAGATCCGGGAGAGTCTTTAGGGGCACAGACTCAAACGGGAGAAGCGGGACTGTCTGGTTTCGGTCGGAACTCGAAGGCAGCTTTCTCTCCGAGGTTTGCAGCGGTTGCTGGGACTCTGAGAGGCAGAGCCCCTAGGGACGGAACTGAGAGCAGCCATAACTGCTCGCTCAA